CATACAAAATTATTCATGACAGAAACATTGAAGGACCATCCTCCCCCTCCCTCTGTGAATACCAATAAGAAACATAGCAAGAGGTTTTCTTTTGCTTCCCAATCACAGTGAGGAAGGGAAATTTTAAACCAACATGTTTTGGGGGAGGGAAAGGGAAAGTCACTGCGAAATGTTGAAGACCAGGGGTGCAAGTACATACTTGTATTAACATCTCCCATCCCTGGAGCTGCAGTAATTTGCATGACATTATCTACCTGGGATGTTGCTATGGTTATCACCATACATAAGTAATTACCAGGGCAAATTGCACATACAGCGCACGGATTCAAGCTGTCAGAAGCAAAGGATCTTTTTATACACTTGAAAATGTACATGTTCAAAAAAACACTAATCACAAAGATTCCTGATAAGAGAAAAACTTCAGGAGTTCTCCAAAACTGTTAACTACGCTTATTGACACCTTAAGAACCAACTCAGACCATGTCTAAGTAAGAAAGACAGTGCACAGGCTCAGTAAAAAAATCAGTAGAAACAGTTATCAGTAATAATAAGCAGAAATAAATCAGTAGGAACAGTGGAAATCCCTGCCAAAGAGTTTACAGATGAGAGAGGCAAAGAGAAGAAGAAGTGGTGTATCATACAGAGGAAACGAGGTTGTCAGCCTCATAGATAACACAGGCCATGTTTATTTTGGATAGATTATGTCATGAAACTTTCTTTTGGCAACTAGGCACAAAAAGATGAATAGAAGGAGGAGGGAATGATATAGACTACACTCAAGYTAAGAAAAAGACAAGAGATAGAGTCTTGTGATGGAACAGCTAGTTAGGGCAAGCCAAAACTAAGTCTAATCAAAGTGGTTTTCTGAAAGTTCCCCTATTTCCTCTCCTGCAAAGTTTCTGCTGCTATTTGTAGGCTGGGATCTGATTGTGCTCTGAGCTCTTTCTCACAGGAGCTGAGACAAAAGTTCCACTCCATCTACAATTGTACACCCAAGCTGAAGAGAGCAGTTAACACCCAGCAGAATTTGGATAAAGTACAAATATAGGGTATCTGATGTTAGGTCATACAAAGTAAATTAGACATTAAAAGCTTAGTCTGAAAAACTGTCACATTTCCAATAAAATACAGCTGCACTGTAAAGACACAGCTTGAGCTGCAGTCTATTGGTGTCAATGAAAAGTTTTCCTCAGGAAAAGACAAAGCTTTAAACAATAGTGCTGATACTGTGACCTGAGTAAACCACATTAGGCTAACTGAAATATAAAAYACAATTCTGAAAAGCACAAAATATATTTCTATCATTTAATCTGAGGTGACATACACGAGTCTCATATCCATCCAAATCAACCATATTTTTCTGAGTACAAAGAAATACTGCAATTATTCCACAGTTACAGAGTACAGAATTGTGGAGAAAAAATGATATATTTTCCATCTGTAACTTCTCTTACAAACAAGTTCTTTTGTTTACTTAGAAATCATCTGCTTCTCTCAGATGTGTATTTTTACCTCCTAGTAGTACTAATAYTATAATGCCTTCAAGTATTTTGACTATTTTAGCAGACAGAACTAGAAAAACATACTGATAGAGATGTGCTCTGAGGAGAGTTGTGCTATGGACAGCGTGACAAGAGCAGGTATTTGCCAGCAAACAATTAGAAAACACAGCAGCCCTTAGGGATCATTTGCATGGCCTCAGGGGAAGTCAAAATTAATGATGTCCAGAAATCCAGGCTAAAATGCAAGATATGTGTACCCCCATTAGGATAAAGACAGATGTGAAGCAAGGAATTTCAGGCATTATCCAGGTAACTGGATGACCACAATGACAGGAGTAGCATAACTCCATTTCATACAAAATAGTTTGTTGGCTATAAATATATCAATGAAAGGGAAAGTAAATATGTGAAAAGCAAAATGCARGATGGAAAAAGTGAGATAAATATTGTTAGATTCACGGGGAAAAATGCTATAAACAGTAAGCAAAGCTCTTTGATTTGTACTGTTTTCCAGCCCATAAAACCCTAATATCTGCCAGCGTTTCATTAAAAGCTTATAAACTACCCAGCATGCCTGCTCCTGCATAAATGTATTGCTAAAAAACACTGTCAGTGTTGCAGACCTGGTATTTTGCAATGTTTCAAAGAAACCTTATGTGCATAAAACTCAGATGCATTATTGAAAGAGGTGTGRATGGTGAAAACAGCACCATAAACTCYAAAACTAATTAATCATTCAAGAGCAGTAAGTTTCTCTCAGCAGAGATGCTCCAAGTAATATCTCTAAGCCAGAAAACACAAATATTTTAAGAAACAGGCATTGTAGATAAAGGATTTAAGAGAAAAACTACAATTTAGTGATATGAGTGAAAGGAGTGGAAAGCATGTCTTCACAGAGGATGGAGAGTTCAAGGTCACGATAGCCCGATGGCAAAATCTGTAAATGTTAATCTGAGTGATACAAAGATCTGGCAATGCTAAGACTGACCAGATCAACAACTGTTTTGACTGAATGTGCAGCCTATTCTCAGCATTAAAATCTAAGTCTTCATCCRTCTAAGGACAAGTAATGGCAATATCATTCTTTTTCCACAACAAGTCACATCGGATCAATCAAATCCTTATTGTTATACCAGTGGTCCCGAACCAAGTCTGGAGGGATCAGAACATTCATGATTTCCCATCTTTCATAAGATCACTGCATTTCAGGGCTGGCTCTCACCAGAACCCAAACAGAGGGCAGAATTAAATTGTTCCGACGGGCAGAACCCATATCCCTGAGGCAAACCCCCCCAGCGTCTGGAGGTTTTCCAGTGAACGACTGTGGATGCACTCAGCCCGTTCTGCACTGCTGTTACTGTAGCTTTTCCTCCTTGAAGTGCTTCCAAATTGTTCTGACAACAAAATATACAGATTCATTTCCCACATCCCTCAAATAACTTCAGATCCCTCTGCTRCCAAGATCAAGCATCAAGCTGATGTTGGATTCCAACATTAATGGGGTGAATGGGCAGTAAAACCTACCTGTTACCCAAGCAAATGCTGGTCTCTCAACCAGCAGCACACTCCAGCACTTGTGGATATGGAAGCTAAAAATTCAGCACAASCCTACTTCTGGAATAACATTAAAAACAGTATTATAGATATAAGAATCAGAGAAAGGAATATTAGAAGACTAAGACACAAAAAAAGAGCCATATCTTTATTATTGCACAAATATGAGATTCCCACATATGCTAATGAAAACTTTGTTTTGAAGGTATGTGCTTAATAACAAACAAATAAACAAACCTGAGCACAATAGAAGGATTACATTTCACATTTGGAAACTCAAACACAGCTGGTCTGATCAGCTGAGCCATTTTCAAGCTGCCACATGCATATCACAGCTCTCACCAAACAGCACTGAAGCAGTTGTTTAGTTGTGGATGCACAAACATCCCCAGAGGACAGACTGTCCAGGCCACAGGGCAGCTCGTGTGATTAAGCTGAAGGGGATGCATTACTGTTCCTCTCTGTCTAATTAAGTAACAAACAAACACATTCGACTGTTTAAATGTTTGAAATCTGCTGTTGTTGCCAGTGGTTCTGAGGCAAACCAGCAGTAGTCCTGCATGGATCTTATTTACTCTTTGCACGAGTGGAAAGAGCACTCGTGGAAATCTGCAATGCCACATTTTTGGTATTCATTACAACCAAATCCTCTACCAGGCACAGCTCAGCTGCACATGGGATTTAGGTCAAAAGGATTTCTGCCACTGTGACAACAGCACAAGGGGAAGCTGTGGTCTCGTGCAGCATCCTGCACATTGGTATTAGTGGTACACCCAAGAGCCACAACAGGCTTGTGGTCTGTACATACACCATGTGGACTGGGCTGACAAACCACTTGTTGCAATTTGGGACTTTTAACACCCTCAGGTCCAAAGGAACAATGGACAGAACAGCTCTGGTGGTGCCCAGTTCACCACAGCCCCCTTAGCAGTGGGGTCATTCCACTGCAATGTGCTGCATGCAATGAAAATCCTCTCCATATCCTCTTTCTCGAGTTGTGAATTAAGTGTATAACATAGGAAAAGGAATCCTACTGCATTTTTCAATTACCTCTGCCTAGAGACTTTTACAACCGTGAACAAAATAAATTGTGATTCAAGCAAAACAAAACAAAACAAAACCTTTTTATTTGCTGTATAGTTTAGGCTTCCAATCCTGCATTTTCAGGATCCAAAGTTCGTTTCCCTTACAGTGAAAGCGACAGTGACCCCGTCATAACAAACACTTTTTTTGTGAAAGGGATGCCAACTTTTTTTTTTCCCCCATACTTTTTAGGGTATCAACACACTAGACAGAATGGAAGGGTTTTTGTTTGTTGGTTTGTTTGTTTGGGGTTCTTTATAATCGTATTGTTACATGCCACGAGAAGAAAAAAAGCCCCACATTTTTGCCTTTCCCGACCGATTTAGGATGACAGCACAAACCATCACCAACCCGGCGCTCTGAGTCCTGAGGGCAGTGCGGCACAGCCCCGCGGCGGTGTTTGGAGCTGTTTGGAGCTGTTTGTGGGGCCGATCTCGGGGCGCTCCGGGCTGAGGGGCCCTGGTGTGCGGTGTTTGGAGCTGTTTGTGGGGCCGCTCCGGGCTGAGGGGCCCTGTTGTGCGGTGTGCGGTGTTTGGTGCTGTTTGTGGGGCAGAGCTCGGGGCGCTCCGCGCTGAGGGGCCCTGTTGTGCGGTGTGCGGTGTTTGGAGCTGTTTGTGGGGCAGAGCACCGGGCTGAGGGCCCCTGTTGTGCGGTGTGCGGTGTGCGGAGCTGTTTGTGGGGCCGGTCCGCGCTGAGGGCCCCTGTTGTGCGGTGTGCGGTGTTTGGAGCTGTTTGTGGGGCAGAGCTCCGGGCTGAAGGCCCCTGTTGTGCGGTGTGCGGTGTGCGGACGTGGCGCGGCCGGGCCGGGCCGGGGCGGGGGCGGAGCGGGCCGGGGCGGGGCGGTGCGGGCCGGGCGGGCAGCGGAGCAGGGCGGCGCGGAGCGGGGCTGGAGAGCCGGGCCGGCGGGCCATGGCGGCTGGCGGGGCGCTTGTAGTGTTGCCCGCGGTGCTGCTGTTGCTGGCGGCGGGCGGGTTAGGCAAGCCCACGGCGCGGCAGGAGCGGGCCCGGCCCGCAGGCGCGCAGCATGAGGACCGGCCCGGCTTCCAGTACGACCACGAGGCCTTCCTGGGCAAGGAGGAGGCGCGGAGCTTCGACCAGCTGAGCCCGGAGGAGAGCCGCGAGCGGCTGGGGTGAGCGCCCGGCCCGGCCGGGAGACGTGGCAGGGGGAGGGCCCGGCGAGGAGGGAGGCGG